AAAAAAAAAAAAAAAACGGGGTTAAATATTAAGGAAGTAACTTCTTGGGCATAAACAATACTGGAAAATAAGAATATAAAACCAGCAAACATTTCTATAGGCAAAGAAAATGAGATATAAAATATGATGAAATCTTTCTTTTTAATGGGATGTCTACAACATGTAGCTGGAATAAAAATAACACTATCTACAATAGTGTTTGGCCTATTTATGGTGAAGTGTGGATTGTTTTGTTTTATTTTGCCACAGTCAATAAAATACTGTGCTTATTTCTATATATTATTGTACTGCTACTTGTATATTTCTGTTACCTGTCCTTGCAGCAAGTTAAAATGAATAAGTTGTACCTTAGTTTAGGTTTTAGAATTATTTCTATCTGAAACGTTTCTGCTGTTCTTTGAAGAATCAATACTGCATAGGCTCTTATTTTTGTTTCTATAATTATCAATTTGTTTCTATAATTATTTTTGCTCTAGAGAGAGCTGTATTGTCCTTTAAAAACAAAACAAAACCTAGCAACTTGAATAAATGCTATAGCTCCATCAGGCCTACCAGGGCTGACGCTTGCCATTGGCCTTGATTGTCCAATCATCTCTTTCCACCTTGTAGTACTGGCGAATACCTGCAACCAACTTAACATTAAAATTTTCTGTAATGTGCAGGGAATTATGGGTAATTAAAATGGCTGATAGTTTGTAGCCATTCATCATAGTGTTGATAAAACTGTCATCACTGCTTGTACAGCCACAGTGAAGAAAAGCTATACTTGAAAAAATCTATTATTGACCTACCTGGTTTTTTTTATCATCAGGAAAGAAATAATTTTACTGTAGCAAAACTCTTTAAAAATAGAGATACCAGTAAAAGGCTTCTTTTTGGTATAATGATATCAAAAATATATATCAAAAAATTGATTCCAAGTCAAATAATTATTGTGGATTAAAATACAGACTATAGTTTTATACTTTTAAACTTTATTCTTAACTTTTCAGATCTGAACAAATAGAAATATCTGTTACATTGAAGCATAGCTGACCTTTCAAAAGGTACAAATCTAGAAAGAGCTGCATAACCCACAGTACACTGGCAAAATAAAAACTTTTTTTTTCTATTCCAAATGCCTTAATTATGTTTTAGAGATGTCTGCTCTTATTTCTCCTGGAAGTATTATAATATGAATTATCTGTCTGTCTCTGTATTTATGTCCTATTTGCACGTGAGAGATATATAATTGTTACTGATGGCTACTAAAAAATCTCAGTGATGAATTTACTGCTAAAGATGTTGTGAAGAGTGAATATATCATCTGTCTTTTCCAGATGTGGTGCATGGTATGAGATGCATTCTTGCTATCTTTTCATTTGTTTCTCCAGTTCTAGCCTCATCTCGATTTTTTCATACATTAATATTTGGCTTTTCTTTCCTTCCATTTCATCTTTTCCTACACTGCCTAAAAAATCCTTCCACCATCATGGCAGAAGAAGCTATCACTCCTACACTTATTACCTGTAAGTAACTTACTTGTGCATCATCAGAATCATGCTTTCTGCCATGTTGTTCTTCTGTGCATGAATAGTATATACTAATAATTCCAGTTCTCTTGTGAAACTCAAAACACTTTTCAGCTTTGCTTGAAACAAAACATCCACATGTCATTGCAATGAAATCCATTTCCCCTTAAGTTCCTTTGCCACGTACTGTGTGTTGAAGTATTGTATTTTTTTTCCATTGAAAACAGTTGGAGAAAATAAGCAGAGTTACCAGAATGTACTCTTAAAAATAAGACTCAGTATCTTTAATTAAAATATTTGTACCAGACCCTCTACCTATTTCCTTAGAAGCAATTCTAATCTTATTTAGAATGAGGCCCCAAGTGGGGGTGGGTGGGAGGTTATCTGCTTTTTTGTCCTTATTGAAAACATGGAATGTATATACATGTACAATCGTTTACTGTATATCCACTGCTTTTTAATCTAGTTCGTAACAATGACAGTACTGCTGGAACGTTGTTGGATAATATAACATCAGGCAGTCTTTTCCAATGTAGTGTCTTTTTATACTTTGGATTTCAAATTCCATAATTGTTGCCATGTGGGATAATAATTATCTTGCTGAAGTCCAGTATGTTTGGAAGAAACTAGGTTGGGCAAGGCTTAAGACAGTGATTACCATTTTGATAAATGAGATTCACAAAACAGGAAAGAATGCATATTTGAATTTTTCAAAAAGTTTGCAGGATTTTGTTTACATGTATCTGTGTTCTAAATTCACAAGGATTGTTTATATGATATGATGGTGTAGCAGATAAGTGGACAAGGACCAGAGAGCCCTGATTCAAGTTTTCCCTGAACCATATAAGCTTATTCCTGTCAGAATATCTCACTAGACTGTTGTTGCAATACTAAATATGCTATCTTGAGCTTCAGAATATTTTTACAACTGTAAACTATTTTGTGTATTTAGTTGAATAGAAAGGTAGAAACTGAATGAATGACTAAGCAAATACATTAATGATTTTTCGTTCTTAAAATATCAGATGACTATTACATTTGTCTCACAAATATATTAGGCTTATATATACATCTAGTAAATACTGAATTTCATCCCTGTCCCCCCTTGTAAGAACACCTGGGTTTCACTCTTGAGTCCAAGAGTTCCACCTCCAGTTGTAATAATTTTTTTACAACTTTGGGAGCAACCTTAAATGTGAAGAAACCGTTTATAGATGTTTATCTATAATATCTGTCATTATGACATTTTTTGTCATAAGTTATCATATTTGCATGTGTTTATACTCTTCATATTATAAACTGACACTTACAGTGTTCTTACTTATGGAGGCACAAAAATAATTCCTGTATATGAACTAATTTATCCAGTAAATTGAGAGTCAACCTTACATGGAGACTTCTTATTCTGGCTCAGGCAAGTATCTCAAAATTACAGAGTAGAAATTCAGGAATGATTTCAATGTAAGTAATGTTTTTGTATATTCATCATCTTTACATTGGAGAAAAAATGGGTATAATTTAAAAAGCTGTGGAAAAGGACTGAATAAAACTTTGAAAGTTTTTATTATAAGTATTTAATAAAAATATATTAAGTACTTACAATAAAAAGGTACATTGAACATCTACTTTTGTCTTTGACTATCTTGACCCCTATTAATCTGTGACGAAAAAGTTTATTTATTAGTTTATTTGCCTATTTTCATGTTAGCTGACATTGGAAGCATTATTGTATGTACGGTCTTCTCTATACTGTTTGTATATGGAAATACTTCTTAAGGCTGTGTAATGCTGCATGATGAAGCTACAATTGGATAAGTAATTTATATTGTTTTGGGACTGTAGTTTCATAACAAATTGAACTGTTAGTTTTCAGGGTGATTTAATGAAATATTGAACCATTCCAAGAGCACAACTATAAGAAATGAGGTAAATACACACAAATCAGTTTGTAGCTAAATGAAAGCAACAGATAAAGAAAATGAATTTAGATGTCTTGTTCATGAGCTTTAGTAATTGTTCGCCCAGAAAAGTTAAAGCACACTGTTTATTTCTGTGCAATGACATGTTTTCATTTATATAACTACTATTAATATTCATATATGATATTTAATTGAAATTTATTCTACATTTAAATCCTACATAAGATGCTTTGACCAAAATACTTATCTTGATCTTATTGATGGAAGTTATGACTAGAGTAATATTGATTTGATCTGAGATATGATTTGTCAGAATTCTTTCATATTTTTCACCAGGTAATTAGACTTAGCTTGAAACATTTCTTCATAGTTCCCACCCACCCTTATCCCCCATTATTTTTTCCTTCCCCTTATATCATGGAAATGAATACATTCCTATTTCAGAATTAAACACCCATCTAAGTTTGTACTCAGGAGGAGTCCAAATGGTATCAAATTGTGTTTACCATATAAGAAAGACAGGCAACATAGCCCCAAGGCTAAATACACTAATTTCCTGTGGCGGGGGAAAGCCATAAGTTCAAGATTACAACTGGCAAAGCACTGCTCAGGTTAGTATAAATATGGAGTGAGTGCATTCCAATATCAAGGTTGAGAAAGAATAGCAAAAAATCCATTGACTCAAAAAGGTTGGGGGCGGGGGGGGGAGAAAAAAAGGCTTAAGATTTAAACCCTGGGCCTGAGAGATACATTGGGTGCTTGATTTCTGTCTTCTGCAGATATAGAACTCTCTTTTTTTCTGCAGTAAAGCAGTTTATCTAGGAATACTGAGTCCTTGACATGTTGTTATCTGGTTCCTGAATGCAGTCAACCCTTTGAGGTAGACCAAATCAGGAAACAGGCAAGTGCTGTTCTGTCATTGTCACAAAATTTCTCCAAAGCTGCTGGAGGCCATATCTAGCTTTCTACCAGGCTTCTTCCTTCCACACAATTATCTAAAAAAAACTAGGTGCCATGTTTATTGAACTGCTTCCCATATTTACACAAATTAATCATATTGCCTTTTGTCTGCAGCTTTGAGCCACACTGAAAATACATCCAATTTTCCACTGTTTCTGCCTGATCCTAGAACGTTCCCCTTGCTCATTGCACACAGCTGCACCGTTACCACCTTACCTAGGTCAGGAGAAGAGGAAAAAATTGAGGTGGAATGTATTTTGGACTTCCAGCAAACATTTAATTTACTGGAAGGCTGCTCAGATACAAAAGCTCATGGGAAGCAGCTGGTGATGTACACAGCCCCACCCTCATTCAACAGTTTCATTTTCAATATAGCCCAAAATACCTCATTGGCCACATATTCCATCTGCAGTATCTGAATCCTGATTGCCAAAGAAGACATGAAAATTCTCCTCCCAATCCAGACTTCCAGGCTGGAGGAGAGGGGGATAGAGAAATTTAAAGGAGACTTTGTCAGAAATGGAACAAGGACACAATATCTTCCAGACTCACACAGCCAGAGGAAATGAGGGTAAATAGACCTCCAGGTCCAGTAGGACAAAGAAATGAGAAGTTAGAGAGGCAGCTAGCATAAGAGCTAAAGCCAGATAAAACCATTGCATAAACATAGAGCAATCTCAAGACCAAGAAAAAGCCCAAAGTCCATGTACTCAGAAGAGAAGGAGAAAAAGGCTTGAGACTTAACTCTGAGTCAGACAATCAATTGATCAGTCTGTCATAGGTAGTTCTACATATATGACTTCTTTCTTGTCTATGATAAAACAATTTCTCTAGAATTATTACACTGTTGACATTTCCGCTATTATGTAGTTCCTAAATGCAGGTTGAGTTTCTGAAAGAGTAAAGGTTTATATCCATGCCTGGCCTTAATTCTGACAAAAAGTGCCTGCTACAGGAGGAGGATGAAGGGAGCCCGTTATGCTTTGTATCATGGGGCTGAAATCAAATCCCTTCACTGATTAATCTAGTTACGTTACAGGAATGAGGAGAGAATGATTCCTCCATACCCCTCTAACCCTTTGTATGCCCCCACAATTTGCTTGCCAAAGATTGAGAATCCTCCAGAAAACATTGGAGGATTGTTAAGAAATACAGGGGGTGAAAATGGATAAGGAAGTTCTGTTGCATACAGTGACTTCCACATTATTGGTTTTCATCCTATGGATATATACTAGGCTTAGTATAGGATCTTTTCTTTTGTCAAAATGATAATCACTACATACATGCACAAAAAGGGAAATGTGTTTTATTTTGAGCTTGGAACAAAATGACGAAATACATAAGCCCCATTGTAAATGTTTTATTAGCTGGAACAAAACTTGAAATGGGCATTCCAATTTTTGTCTGAATAAAATTCAAAACATCTCATATGTCCAACCCATAAAAAACAATGGGAATTCAGGGCCAGTTGCTTTCCCTATTCAGTGTCAAACAACACAGCTGTTGCCCTCAGAGCTATTAGACTCAGGATTGTAACCTTTAAGTGCAACAGCCACTCAAACAAAAAAATCATAGTTATTGCGCAGGCATGGGGAGGAGAGAGATTGGTTGGTGGGAATGTCCCATTAATCTCTCAGGTCACCTGAGCTCTATTATGCAGGTGTTCCATTATATGCTCTGTACATAGAATACATTGTTTTTAATTTACAATTTTACACTGTAAATATTTGCTACTTATTTTGATGGGATGAACAGCAAACAGAATTCATGTCATTTTCAAGAATATTGTTTCATTCTTACAAACTTTGGTGCCAAATAATCATCATAGCCATGATATAAAAAGAACTGCCAATTAGATTTTGCAAAACTTGTTCCATCCCACCACTGTCAGTGGTGCTATTCAATGATAAAGCTCAAGCTGTTTATTCCTCATCTGGAATATATTTTTCCTATTTATATCTATGAAATGACAGCAAGTAAAAGAGGAAAAAATGGAAAGAATATTTACCTGTAACTTTAGAAATTAATGATGCATTATATTAGTTGAGCCTGTCAACTTTAAATCATTGGTAGTTTCTCTTCTTGAATTGGTCCTGAGATTGCCTGCAAAATGTATTA